GCCCTTTCAAAGGTGACTCATGCTGCCTGTGAATATACAGCTGTCACTTTAGTAAGGTACCTCTCAGATTGCTCACAAGCAATTTTGTTCCAGCCTAAAAAAGGCTCATTGGGAGCCACACATTGCCAGCTATTTCTGAAATGATTTTTTAAAAATTAATCTTAGGATAATATTTTTATTAATATCTCAGGCTAAAGCCTGAGGTCTTTCTCCCAGTTCTCACTGACTCTGGTGAACTCTCATTGACGTCAGCGGGCGTTTGCATGATTAAGGACTGGGCTGGTCATTTGTGTTTCAAGGAACAAAGGCCAGCAGAATTTATTTTTAAGGGACAGCAGCACATAATATTCTGCTTATAGTGCAAAAATCAGAAATACAGAACTTTTACTTTTCAGAGTGGTGTTAGTCTGTATCAGCAAAAACAATGAGGAGTCCTTGTGGCACCTTAGAGACTAACACATTTATTTGGGCATAAGCTTTTGTGGGCAAAACCCACTTCATCAGATGCATGGAGTGGAAAATACAGAAATTTTACTTGTTTAGCAGTAATCTGCTTGGCACTGTACAGACAGACAGGATGCCGTACAACCTAAAAATCATCTGTTTGTTTATATCCTGCAAAGTATTACTATTATCATTTATTATTATTTGTATTACCATGCTCCCTCGGATTCATAGTCAATGACTAGGATCCCCTGGTGCTAGGTGCTGTACAATTACAGAACAAAAAGATTATCCCTGTCCCAAAGAGCTCAAAGTCTAATCTTTTTGGCAACACAGAAGGTTCTATAGTGATATGGGAAATGGGACACGAGGCATCAAATAAGGGGATGTTCCTTTAAGATATGGCACAGATGGTTTCATCAGTGAGGAGTAAGACTCTGATTCAGCAAAGCACTTAAGCCATGTGCTTAACTTTAAGTACTACTTAAAGCCATCCCTAGGACTAACTAAAGATTTTGATATTTGGCATGTGGTGTCTAATCCATTTTACTGCAGAAGAAGGACATTCATTAAAAGTTGACTATAAGCACTAGGTACAGCAGGGATTCTCAAACTGGGGGTTCCCCCCCCCAAGGAGGTCACAAGATTATTACATGGGGGGGGGGTCGCAAGCTGTCAGCCTCCACCCCAAACCCTGCTTTTCCTCCAACATTTATAATGGTGTTAAATATATTAAAAAGTATTTTTAATTTATGGGGGGGGGGGGTTGCACTCACAGGCTTGTTATGTCAAATGGGTCACCAGTACCAAAGTTTGAGAATCACTGGGATACCGCTTGCTGTAAACTGACTTGATATGAAACTCCATTTAAATTGTGTTACTCTATAAAGTTCTTCATTGCTGTTGATTTTCTTAAGGTGAAAAAACATACTTTGCTTCTTTATGGTGCATTAAGAAGGCCTGAAAACCTTGGGTGGGTTTGGGCATATCTGCGTTGTTGTTTGAAATTAGAAATTCAGATATTTTGTAACCCTGAAACGCCAGAAGATTGGCGGATTATTGGGTTTATAGCAGCTATTAAATTCAAATGCCTGAGAAACACTTGCGAGGTCTTTGTTAAAGATCCAGTACTTTTTTATTGAGGAGGGGAAGGAGGAAAAAATCACAATATACATTTGATCAGTGTTTAATTTGTAACGAAAGAGATGCTGGGGCTCACGCTATGAACTACCAAGCCGAGAGGTGACCGGCCAGGCCTAGAGATGCCAGGGCTCAGCCCTGGCACAAATTAAGCTCCGCACTTGAGACCTCCAGTGAGTCATCTCCCAGAAGCAGGAAGGAACTTTGCATTCCCCTACTTCCAAGGTTAACAAAACACCCAGCGCACCTGGCACCAAGGGGCAGGCAGGGTGTGCGGAGAAATGACCACGGCGCCTCCTGTCGGGCTGCACCCAGCACCAAGGCCAGAAGCTGGGGCCGCCACTCTCCCGCCCAGCCAGGGCTTCATGTGTGCCCGGGGCGCAGCCCGGGCATGTCTCTCCCTGCAGCTCAGCCCTGCCCCCGCTCCCCGCCTCTGAAAGGGTTGCGCCTGGCATCACAGCCAGCGCCGCGTCGCTTTGGATTAGCCCCCAGCGGCATGAGCCTGCGGGGCAGGTGAGGCGGGCAGCACTGATTGACGGGGGAGGGAGGTTTTTAGACAGCCGAGGGCGCCGTGGCGGCTTCTCCAGGCGGTCGCTGCCGGCGTGTGGCGGGGCAGGGGGCGGCCCGGGGCGGCCGGGCTGGTCGCTGCGCTGCGCTGGGGGAGGCGGCGCGGCTGCTCAGGCTGCCCGGGAAGGCAGGCGGTGGAGCCGGCTGGAGCGGCGGGCGCCGCTCCGGCTGCCAAAGGCCGGGCTGGCGGGCGCGCCCCGGGAGAGGCTGCAGCGGGGCAGCGCCCCCTTGCTCGGGGGAGCGGGCGCGCTGCTTCCGGGCCGGGCCGGGCGGGAGCCGCTCCGGGGGCGGCCTCTGGCGTGAGGCGGGTTCTCGTTGTCCGGGTACCCGGCTGGAGGCTCTCAGCGCGGCCCAGTGCCCGGAGCCCTGGCCTGGGGGCGCAGGCTGGTGTCCCTGGCGCTGCTGCTGGCCTCTGGGGGAGCTGGAGCGAGGCCCTGTGTCGCCCTGGGCCTCAGTGTCCCCCGCTGTAAAATGGGGAGAATGGCTCATACTCGCCCTTGTGAAGTGCTTTAAAGGCGCCTGAGGAAGGGCCAGGGCGCGGTGCACGGGGAAGGACGCAGTTTGCACAGGGCTCCTGCTGTCAGGGGCGAGAGGCGCCGCTTTGACATTACCTCCAGCGGTGGCTTCGGGTTTCCTAGCCCTCCCCTGCCTTGTCCCCGAAGGGCTGGTGGCAGAAGTCAGCGAGTGAAATAGTGGGGAAAGCACAGACTTGCCAACTTTCCAACAGGCACAAAACTGAACACTTGCCCTGCCCTGAGGCCCCCCCTCACTTCAAACACCACCCCCCTGCTCGCCCTTCCCCACCCTCACTCGTTTTCACTCGCTGGGGCAGGGGGTTGGAGGGCAGGACGGGGTGAGGGCTCTGGCTGGGGGTGCGGGCTCTGGAGTGGGGCTGGGGATGCAGGAGGAGCTCTGAGCTGGGGCCAAGGGGTTCAGGGGGTGGGAGGGGGCTCAGGGCTGGGGCAGGGTTTGGGGTGTGGGAGGGGGTGCGGGGTCTGGGAGGAAATTAGGGTGCGGGAGGGGGCTCAGGGCTGGGGCAGGGGGTTGGGAGGGGGTGCAGGGTGTGGGAGGGAGTTAGAGTGCCGGAGGGGGCTCCGACTTGGGGTGGGGTGTTGGGGTACAGGAGAGGGTTCGGCCTGTGGGCTCTGGCTGGGTAGCGCTTATCTCAGGCAGCTCCCGGTCGGCAGCGCAGCTGGCCTAAGGCAGGTTCCCTCTGCCTGCCCTGGCTCTGCGCTGCTCCCGGGAGTGGCCAGCATGACTGGTACCTAGGCGGAGGCACAGCCAGGTGGCTCTGCGCAGTGCCTGCTGTGATGGATTGGATCACAGAAACCCCCCTGGGAACTGCCACCTGATGTGCCAAGACTACTTCTGCCCCTGTTTTCACTGCCAGCCTGAGACTCCAGCACCCTGTCTTGTTGAGCCAGACACACAAGTCTGCTCCAACTAGACCCAGGGTCTGAACCATGTGCCCCAAAGCTGCAGACTTAACTGAAAGCAACGTACAGAAGTGTTCCTGTTTTTAACGCTCAGATGACCAACTCCCAATGGGGTCTAAACCCCAAATAAATCCGTTTTACTCTGTATAAAGCTTATACAGGGTAAACTCATAAATTGTTCGCCCTCTATAACACTGATAGAGAGATATGCACAGCTGTTTGCCCCCCTACTGGACCCCGCTCCCCTCCGGCTTTGAGGGCAGAACCCAGGAGTCCAGAGCCCTAGTCTCTGTCTGCCCCCCACCCCCTCGAACAGCTAAAGCCCAGCTGGAAACCTAGGAATCCAGAGTCCTCGCTCCCAGCACTCCTCCCCTGAGCGTCAGACACGAGCCCCTTCCCGGAGCCCTGGAGTCCCAACTCCCACCCCGCTCCCCGCCCTATCCCCCGCACCTCCCCCAAGCCCCTGCCCTGATCCCTGCACCCCCCCCTCACATACACCCAGCCCTCTGCCCTGACCCCTGCACCCCGCTCACACACTCCCAGCCCTGACTCCAGCACCCCCACACATGCCCCCAGCCCTCTCCCCTGACTCCTGCACCCTCCTCAGACCCCCCCAGCCCCCTGCCCTGGCTCCTGCACCCCCACACATACCCAGCCCCCACACACCCCATGCCCTGACTCTTGCACCCCCCACATCCCCATCCCCACCCCCACCCTAAGCACCAAATGGGAGCTCCTGCACCACCACCCCACATTCCCACCTGCACCCCTCACACCAAATGGGAGCTGCCCAGGTAAGCACTCCGCACCCAAACCTTCTGCCCCAATCCTGAGCCCCCTCCTTCATTCTAGCTCCTGGCCAGACCCTACACCCCAACCCCCAGCCTGCTCCTTCACCCCCAGTCCCATGCTCAGTGCAGAGAGAGAGGAAGAGAATGGACTCAAACCAGGGAGAAGGTAGGTACCCACTCTATGTGGGCAGGGCCAGGACCCCAGACCGGCAGCAGGCTGAGTGGCAGCAGGCTGAGCCGCTCAGCCCACTACTGGTCTGGGGTCCCGGCCACCAGCCCCGCGCAGCCCACTGCTGACCCCGGTTCTGGCTGCTGGCCGGGGTCCTGGCCGCCGGTCCCACTCAGCCTGCTGCCGGCCTAGGTGAACGGAACCCCAGGCCGGCAGCAGACTGAGCGGGCCGGCGGCATAAGATCAGCATTTTAATTTAATTTTAAATGAAGCTTCTTAAACATTTTGAAAACCTCGGTTACTTTACATACGACAATAGTTTAGTTATATACTATAGACAGAGAGAGACCCTCTAAAAAACATTAACATGTATGACTGGCACGCGAAACCTTAAATTAGAGTGACTAAATGAAGACTCGGCACACCACTTCTGAAAGGTTGCCGACCCCTGGTGTAGGATATTAAGCCCTTATTGGGAATGAGGAGCCATTTTCTCCAGCATCCCAAGTACTGGCCATTGCCAAATGCAGGTACTCGACTAAGGTAGATGACCGAGTGGTATGCAATCCTAATGCTAGAATTGATAAAGGCATGGCAGCTCCAAGGGACGAATAAAAAAATAAATAGGTACAAAGTTTATGAGACTATTTGCAAATTGCTGCCATACTAGATACATGCAGCGGTTTTCTTATTCACAGTCTAAACAGAGGCCACTTGGGACCCTTCTTTCCTTTTATCTACGACTGAAATAACCTTTTGTCAGGTGTCCGAGGAAGATGGACTTCCACAAGCTCCTCTACACCATCAGTGAGGCTCTGGCCACAGAAGACCTGGTGGCTCTGAAGTTTCTAAGCCTGGAACACATCCCACTGCGGAAGCAGGAAGGCATCCGTGATCCTGAGGCCTTATTCCTAGCACTCGAGGAAAAGGGCATGATGGAGGAAGACAATCTGTCCTTCTTAAAGGAGCTGCTGTTCAGGATAAACCGCATAGACATCCTAACTGATAAACTGAGCTCCAGCAGAGAGGAGATGGAGAGGGAGCTTCAAATTCCAGGGAGGGCAAAGGTATCTCAGTTCAGGTGGGTAGCTCTGTATCATATTGGTGGGGGATCTAATGCCTCATGAAAAATTAAGTATAAATTATGTTAATGATTTGCATGTGATTTGTACCTGTGGTTTGTCCATAAGTGCTCTCTGAGGGCCTCAGCCTCTTCCCAGCGAAATCAATGGAAGTTTTGCCATTGACGTTAATGGGAGCCACATTAAGTCTGCAAAACAGTTATGCAGTCCTTTGCATGATGTGTATAAATAAATTGCTACCTTGATGTGCATGTTAATGTACAGTAAATGTGAATCTGACACTGATGCACCTTAAACAACTTGCAAATAATAAATGACAGAGTAAATTGCGCATTCCTTTAAATAGTAGATTGGAAACAGTAATTCATCCCAGGAGAGGGGTCAGATTCTCAGACCCATTAAGTCTGCATTTGCATTGTTCTAGCAGGGCAAAGCAGCTTTACATGTGGCATAAGTGACCATCTGAGGCTTCTCCTAGAATGGGGGGAAATCCCTGGATGGTATGAGCTCGACTTGTGTGCCCTTGTGTCCAGATGCTAGAATGACTGGTGGTGACAGTCAGAATATAGAGCCGCCCTGAGGCTGTCTACTTTATATCAGGGGCCAGGCCGTCACAAATTGGCACTAGGACCAAGAGCTGCAAAAGCAGTAAAGGTCTTTGCACTATTGCCTTCTGAGCTGCTCCATGTTTTACTGAGGATCTGGCTGCAGCTGTTTATTTAAATTGGAGGATTACATAGTATTAGTGCTCAGACTAGAGAGCATCCTGTTTTCAGAAAACCAAACTCCTGGTCTGGATAAGTGACATTAAACACTTTAGGGCCCAGTTCTGTACGAAGCTTCAATTGGAGTTGTGGGTGTGTCTGGCCTGAGCCTGGAAATGAAAACCAGCATCTTCATTTCCTAATTAAACAAATTCCTCTTCGCAGCAGGCTGGAATCCAAGGAGAGTGCACTTGGCTGCTAGAAGTGGCTCTCCTTGCTGTGGAGCATGGGGAGTAACTGCTGTAAGGTGGGATTTACAAGGAAACGGAGGCAGGAGGCCTGTATTCATTGTCTGTCTAGTTAGGACAGTTCAGTACACCCCTGATTCTAGAGCTGGTTGGGTTAGATTAGCTGCTTGCTCCTGAGAGAAGGTGTCATGCGCAGAATGTACAGCAGCTGTCTGCCTCCCATACTGATATTAGCCTGCCTTTCAGACTACCTTTTCAGACAGTGAAAAGCACCATTCCCTAAGGGCTCCCACGTGACATCTGCCCAGCTCTGGTTTTGAGTTTGCCATCCATCCTTATTGCTCATTGACTGAGTGGAGACTCGACTGTACAGTAGTCCCTGGCTGTGGTCTGAGATAACATGCACACAATGCAAATCCATCCTTCCTTCCATTCCCTTCCCTCTCACCAATGCGTGTGCTTCTGTCCTGAGAGTTCAGTAAAGGAGGATCCCTTCTCCACCAGCATCTGCCTTTAAAGTTGCCTGTCAGTAGTTCAGTGGCATCCTGTAAAGCTGTGTAACGGTCCCAGATGTTTAAAGATGCATGCTTGCTTTTGGTGCATCTGCAAGTTACATTGCCTCCGCAGTGCTGCAGGACAAACTTTGGATTTCATTCTATGAATTTGATTAAAATACACACATACACACACACCTCACATGCAAATGGTCCCAGTTTGAGGTTTTTCAGCTCTACTGAGGGTCTCGACGCTGGCTGTAAGATAGATCTGGAACAAAGCATCTCTGTGGGCATTCACCTGCCAGTATAAATATGACTGCAGTGTAAACTGATCTGATATGTCTCAGTGTATTTATCATAGACTATAGCAGGTTAGGAACTTGGGAAGTTACTGGTAACTGATGAAAACTGAGAAAAAGCATTGACTAATAACTGAACTGTAAAATCCATCAGTCCATATTGGGTTTGGGTTGGGCAGCTCAGCTTAGTTTTTAAAAACTAACTCATTTTGGCTGCATAAAAAGAACCATGTTTGAATTCCAGGGTGTCCTGGGACCAAGTGAGGTTAAAAAAATCAATTTCCTTTGTGTTAACATTTGTGTGTGTGGAAAAAAATACATTTTGTGTGTGTGTGTATATCATACAGTTTTCACATTTTGTGCCATGTATGCTTCTAGTGAGCTCTCAGTAGCTTGCCAGCACAATATTAAATAAAGCTACGATACCAACTGGCTCATACTGAGCGAAGCAACTCCCTGTTTTCCCACCAGGTACCTGCTCTTCCAGCTCTCAGAAAACATAACAACAGATGAATTGAAATCTTTGAAGTTTCTTCTGATCAAAGAGCTTCCGAAGTGCAAGCTGGACAATGAGATGGTAAGAATTGTTTCATTGCTTTGAGCAGATCTAGAAGTTGTTTAGGGTGTAGTGGGAGAACAGGGCTTCTTTGGGAATGGCCACCCTATGTTTCCACATCTTAACACCGCTTCCCTTCCCCCCACCTCCAGTCAGGAATATTTCTGGCTAGGGACTAGATGACTTATATGCTTCATTATTATTAATCATGTTTATTACTGTAGTGTCCAGACTGCGGCCCTATTGTGCTAGATAGTGTATAAACAAAGTAAGCAGTAGACAGTTCCCTGCCCTGAAGTTCTTATAATCTAAATAGACAAGATAGAGACAGTAGAGGGGAAGGGGTAGAACACACAAGCAGAGTGCTTTTGTCACCGGATCCCGTTAAGTGGCTGTCATCCTTCTCAGACACTTAACCAGTTAATCAAAAGAAATGGCTCTTATCAATAAGGATTATCAGTCAGTAAAATAATACTTAGTGCTTTTCTTCCATTGACCTCAAAGTGCTGTACGAATGTGGGTGAGTACTATATCCCCGTTTTATAGATGAGGAAATGGAGGCACAGAGATTAAGTGATTTATTCAGATCAGGTGCAGTGAGTCAGTGGAAGAGCCAGGAATGATTCCCACATCGCCCTGCTCCCAGCCTAGTGCCCTAACTATTGAAGCACGCTACCTCTAAGGCTGCGAGTTTGTCATGGAGGTCACGGATTCTGTGACTTTCCGTGACCTCCGTGACTTCTGCAGTGGCCAGTGCGGCTGGCCCGGGGGTCACCTAAGCAGCTCAGGTAGCCCTTGGGCCAGTCGCACCAGCCGCTGCTGGGGCAGTCTCGGGCCATAGTACCCTCCTCCCCCAGCAGAAGTTTGGAAATGGGCGTGGGAGGGGGCAGGGGTCTGGGAGGGGGCGAGGGCTCTGGGTGGTGCTTACCTCGGGGGCTCCCCGGAAGCAGTGACATTCCCCTCCCTCAGCTCCTAAGCAGAGGTGTGGCCAGGCAGCTGTGCACTGCCTCCGCCTGCAGGCACTGTTCCCAGCCAGTGGCAGCTCCAGAGCCAGCGCTTGAGTCAGAGGCAGCGCGCAGAGCTGCCTGGCCATGCCTCCGCCTAGGAGCTGAGGGAGGGGGATGTTGCTGCTTCCGGGGAGGTGCAGAGCGAGGTAGGGAGCCTGCTGGCCCCACCAATCTCTGCCCGCTCCCCACTCCCTCCCAGTACCAGCGGGGGTCCTGGGCTGCCCCCCACCTCGCCAGCACCAGCAGGGTCCCGGGCTGTCCCCGCCAGCACCTGTGGTGCCTCCTGGCCTGCCCCCCCTCCCCCCCACAGCACCTGCAACACCCCTGGCCTCCCCCCACCCCTCTCCCCCCCGAGCACCTCAGCACCCCTGGGCTGCCTCCCCCCCAATTTAGTTAGGGGTATATCGTACAAGTCATGGACAGGTTGTGGGCCATTAATTTTTGTTTACTGCCCGTGACCTGCCCCTGACTTTTATTAAAAATACCCATGACTAAAACGTAGCCTTAACTAACTTGCATAATTCAGACTTCCTTGGTCCAGGCCATTGTGGGAGATTTACTGAAACCAATGAAAACAGCAGCTAGGAAGCATGCAGGCATGGTTGCCCCACTCTATTCCTCTGCCCTCCCAATCCACAACACCCCAAGTGGACTGAACACTTCATTTTCTCTCATTACAAAGAAAAATACACAAAAGTCACGTCAAATCTGGGATGGAGATGGGGGCTCTGCTCTGCTGGAGGAATCATCTTTCGATGTGAGATGGAACTGAGGTCTTGGTTGCTTCTGCTTAGTCAGATGAATGCTCAGGCATGATCAGATTCCTATGGGCCCTGTTGTTCTGCCTGCCTATGTTCCACTGCACTTTTTGCTGTTGAGACCCCTTTGCCTGTTTTCCCTCCAGAGACAGCTGCTCTTGAGGGGTAGTCGAAGTGATTCCAATACGTAGTTAAGCAATCGTTAGTTAGTGCCCCATGGGAATCCTTTAAATGAAAAGCGCAGTATAAATATGAGATCACCACTGTGGGCCCCATCCTACCCGGGTCTGAGTAGCCTCCATTCACAGTGGTGTGGTGTGGAGGATGATCAGTGCCTCTGAGGATATGGCTCCACAAGAAGAGGCACCTCTAGACTGGAGAATGTGGAGGGAAAGTAAATTCTATCTCTAACAGGAAATTGTCTTTCTAATTGCCCAGACACTGATCGATGTTTTCATTGAGATGGAGAAGAAGGGACTAGTGGCAGAAGAAAATCTAGAAACCCTCAAGATTATTTGTGAGAAAATTGACAAAAGCCTTCTGAAGAAAATTGAAGAGTATGAATTAGACCGAAATGGTAAAAATGGCCTCTTTCACATCAGTTACTTTTGAATTGACAGATCAGTTTAATATGCTAAGCATCTATAGCTAAACAATGAATTTCTTTCGTATGCAGTGGAAATGTACATCACGAAAGGACATGGAGGCCAAACAGAAGTCTCTGAAGGTAACTGACAGATTAGCTTCCAAGGAGATGCCATTTAGAACTTTCTTAATGAATTTTCACCTTTTCCCCCCACATCTGTCACATTCTTTTTAATTCACCTACCTGTCTTGTCCCACCTCTAAATATAGTTACAAAGTGAGCTCTATTTATTTGATCATGTCTAACCAAACCCACTGTTTTAAAGCCCCTTATTTTTTTTTTATTTTTCATAGTTACTCTAGTTAGAATTGCTAACATAGTTCCTATTTTTAAGAAGGGGGAAAAAAGTGATCCGAGTAACTATAGGCCTGTTAGTTTGACATCTGTAGTATGCAAGGTCTTGGAAAAAATTTTGAAGGAGGAAGTAGTTAAGGACATTGAGGTCAACGGTAATTGGGACAAAATACAACATGGTTTTACAAAAGGTAGATCGTGCCAAACCAACCTGATCTCCTTCTTTGAGAAGGTAACAGATTTTTTAGACAAAGGAAATGCAGTGGATCTAATTTACCTCTATTTCAGTAAGGCATTTGATACGGTTCCACATGGGGAATTATTAGCTAAATTGGAAAAGATGGGGATCAATATGAAAATTGAAAGGTGGATAAGGAATTGGTTAAAGGGGAGACTACAACAGGTCATACTGAAAGGTGAACTGTCAGGCTGGAAGGAGGTTACTAGTGGAGTTCCTCAGGGATCGGTTTTGGGACCAATCTTATTTAATCTTTTTATTACTGACCTTGGCACAAAAAGTGGGAATGTGCTAATAAAGTTTGCGTATGACACAAAGCTGGGAGGTATTGCTAATACAGAGAAGGACCGGGATATCATACAGGAAGATCTGGATGACCTTGTAAACTGGAGTAATAGTAATAGGATGAAATTTAATAGTGAAAAGTGCAAGGTCATGCATTTAGGGATTAATAACAAGAATTTTGGTTATAAATTGGGGACACATCAGTTGGAAGTAACAGAGGAGAAGGACCTCGGAGTATTGGTTGATCACAGGATGACTATGAGCCGCCAATGTGATATGGCCGTGAAAAAAGCTAATGCGGTCTTGGGATGCATCAGGCGAGGTATTTCCAGTAAAGATAAGGAGGTGTTAGTACCGTTATACAAGGCACTGGTGAGACCTCCTCTGGAATATTGTGCGCAGTTCTGGTCTCCCATGTTTAAGAAGGATGAATTCAAACTGGAACAGGTACAGAGAAGGGCTACTAGGATGATCCGAGGAATGGAAAACCTGTCTTATGAAAGGGGACTCAAAGAGCTTGGCTTGTTTAGCCTAACCAAAAGAAGGCGGAGGGGAGATATGATTGCTCTTTATAAATATATCTGAGGGATAAATATCAGGGAGGGAGGGGAATTATTCAAGCTTAGTACCAATGTGGACACAAGAACAAATGGATATAAACTGGACATTAGGAAGTTTAGACTTGAAATTAGACGAAGGTTTCTAACCATTAGAGGAGTGAAGTTCTGGAACAGCCTTCCAAGGGGAGTAGTGGGGGCAAAAGACATATCTGGCTTGAAGACTAAGCTTGATAAGTTTATGGAGGGGATGGTATGATGGGATAGCCTAATTTTGGCAATGAATTGATCTTTGATTATTAGCAGGTAAATATGCCCAATGGCCTGTGATGGGATGTTAGATGGGGTGGGATCTGAGTTACTACAGAGAATTCTTTCCTGGGTGTCTGGCTGGTGAGTCTTGCCCACATGCTCAGGGTTTAACTGATCTCCATATTTGGGATCGGGAAGGAATTTTCCTCCAGGGCAGATTGGCAGAGGCCCTGGAGGTTTTTCGCCTTCCTCTGGGGCACGGGTCACTTGCTGGAGGATTCTCTGCACCTTGAGGTCTTTAAACCACTATTTGAGGACTTCAGTAACTCAGGCATAGGTTAGGGATTTGTTACAGGAGTGGGTGGGTGAGATTCTGTGGCCTGCGTTGTGCAGGAGGTCAGACTAGATGATCATAATGGTCCCTTCTGACCTTAAAGTCTATGAGATTTTCTTTTAAAAATGCTCTTTATTGCAATGAATATGCAAGGAGTATCAGAGATGCCTGCTGTCTCTAGCAGGTATTTTATTTTATACGCAGGCTCCAGTCCTGCCTCAGGCTCCATGAACACAGATCCATGCGCTGTCTCATTGACTTTACTGAGATGCTGCACAGAAACTGATGCAGGCTCTGGGCCCCAAGGAGTGCAAGGAAAAAATGATCTATTTAATATCTAGTTAAGGACTCTTAGGCTTGGTCTACACTTACCCCCCAAGTCGAAGTAAGGTACGCAAATTCAGCTACGTGAATAACGTAGCTGAATTCGACATACCTTACTTCGAACTTACCGCGGTTCAGACGCGGTCCACACGCGGCAGGCAGGCTCCCCGTCGACTCCGCGGTACTCCTCTCGTTGAGCTGGAGTACCGCAGTCGACAGGGATCACTTCCTGGTTCGATTTATCGCGTCCAGACCAGACGCGATAAATCGAACTCGGAACTTCGATCCCCAGCCACCGAACTAGCGCGGCAGTGTAGACCAGCCCTTAAGAAATCTTTGCCTCCCCAGCAGACTATGTGGCCTAGTGGATAGAGTACTGTATTGGGACTCGGGTGATCTCCGTTCTAATACCAGCTCTGTCTGTGGCCTGCTGGGTGACCTTGGGCAGCTCTGTAAAGTGGGGGATAATGATAACGATCTCCTTTTAAAAGTATTTTGTGATCTATAACTGAAGACCACTAGCTGCCAGGGAGGTGGTATTATTTTTCACTCTATACATTTTTTGGTGGTGGCACACTGAAACTTCCAAAATCCATTCCTGGAAGCAGGGAGATTTCATAGAGTTAATCTGGTGTTAGCCAGAAAGGGAGTGGGTGCTATGGATCCAGTAGTCCGGGTCCGTGCAGAAAGTCCCTTGATTTTAAAGCTACTCACTTACCATGTAATGCTTTCACCATTATGTACCAAAATAGGAAAGGACAAGGGAGCCATTCTTGAGGCATAGAAAATTCATTGAAAATTCATGCTTTACCTGTACTTTGGCTTTTGTCAGTACAGTAGATAGGGAGTTGAAATTCCTATTGGATAAATAGCTTTACCAGTTCAGTATTTGGCTTGTCAGCACAGTTGTGAGAGTAGATGAAAAACCCATGAGATAAATAGCTATTATCCTAGCAGTGAACCTTGATACACAAGAAGCAAAGTCTTAGGGGCCTGCTCCTGCTCCCAGTGAATTCATTGAGCAGTTTTGTAATTTTTTTTCCCAGTTGGCACAGGATCAATTCCTGTGTCATTTTACTCCAGTTCATCTACTTTGAAACAAAAACTTTTTGCAACCAACCCCTCCGCACACCTTACTGAAGTCAGAGGGTAGCACTTACTCATTGTACTTGCATTGCTGCGAACAGGAATTACACAGTGTCTCAAGAGCAGACTAGTGGACCTTTTAAAGTAACAATTTCCCAGATGATAAAATTTTAGGCTTTACCTAGTTCTATGCCTGACTGTCTCTTTCTGGATTATTTTAGTCCAGGACAGCCTTTGGCCTTCTCAGACTGCATCGGATTCTCCAGGCATCCAAGAAGAAACCCAGCAGGTAAATCAGGATTAAAGTTACTTTAGGGGATCTGGCTGTATATGGGATAGTGTTGTGTTGGGCAGATGGTAGGAAGGGAGAGTATCAAGCAGCAGACAGATCTGTCTATGAAAACAAAACCCTACAAGCTTGTGGCAACAGATGGTAGCCTTTCAATGATTGGCATGAGCTGGAAATGTTGATGCTAGTTTTTTTGTCTGTGCAGAGAGGCGGTCTGTGAGGCGGAAACAGGTCACTTATGGGATATTTGTTCTTCTGAAGCTGTGTCAGTTGGGGCACAGGCAGAATGGGGCACAGTTATTAAGCTTCAGCAAATCTGTTATTTGAAAGTCTTTTGTTTCACAAGGTAGCTGGAAGGGGCCCATTTCTTGAACAGAGGAAGGGCAGAGTGAGTTAACACTGATAAGCAGTGCCAGAGAGTGGAGTGGCTCTGTGTTAGGGTTGGATGGTTGGGTTTTTCTTTTAAACAAAGATGAAAATTTTGATCTGCAGACAGAGATGGCAGCTCTATAAGGCCCTGTTTCTCTAGACACCATACAGGAGTTGCTGTTGCACTGGTGTCTCTCCTCATTTGTTACTCAGGGCTCACCTTACCTGTGGAGGTGGTGCATTGTTGCTGGAGGCTCCAGGACTGGTCTCCGTCCTTCAGCTCAGGGCACCAGTCTCAGGTGGAACATGGTGGTGGATCAGTTTCTCCTGTCAATTTTATTTTAAAAATTTGTTTTTATTCATTTTTGTGCAGTTGAGACTTCTAATCTTCCTCCTCCTCTGCCCTTGGATCTAGTGAAAAGCAGCATGGTGGTTTCAGCCACCTTGCCTCCCTCCTGGAGTCCTCTGCCCCTGCTCTGGAAGGGCAAAGCTATCCTGTAAACACCCAGTTTTAAATCTAAGCAGTGGTCCTCTCTCTGAAAAAGCATTTGCAGGCTCTACAGCAAGGGAGGTATGCCCTGCCTGGTCCCAGCCCTCTGATCCTTGTGCTGCTAGGGCCCAGGCCTCTCCCTGCCCTCAGGAGCCACAACTCCAATGCAGAAACATTCAGTGAGGCTTCTGAGGGAGAGTATAAGGACAAGGAGGAAGCTATCGGGCCAGTGCCGGGGGTAATCCCTGCAACAGAGCTGAGCTGGAAGGGGAAAAAAAACCCAGAGAGGATCCGGTCCCTGCCAGGTGCGTGGGGGCTCCTACACTGCTCCCCTTCCTCCGGCTGTGTGTCGGGGGATTCTCACGATTAAGGTTAAGATTCTGTCATGGGCATTTTTAGTAAAAGTCAGGGACAAGTTGCAGGCAATAAAAAATTCACAGAAGCCCACGACCTGTCCCTAATGCTTACCAAAAATACCCTGCGGGGGTGGGGAGGCAAAGAGCGCTGCTGGGGCTTGTAGCGGGGTAGCCAAAGCTGGAGGGTGGCACCTCAGCCTAGCCCTGGAGCCTCCAGCAATACCACTGGATCACCCCCAAATGCCACAGGCAGGGGCATGAGCTATGAGTAATGAATAAGGAGAGAAGCTGCTAACAGAGAAAAAATTCAGGTAAAAATGTTCTCCTTTGGCTGTAAACCCTGCAGTTTCGCTTCTGGACAGCAGAGGGTACTAACACTCCCTTCTGCTCTTAGCCTAATAGCCCTGTCTCTGCCTGTCCCCCTGCTGTGGGTCCCTGGTGGAGGCAGGAAGGCTTTGGAGTACTGCGGGAAAAGGAGAGCATAGGTGTGAGAGTGAAGATGACCAGACAGGGCCCTGTGAGGGGAGCAGAGGGGGCCACAGGAAGGGGTTGGGCTGGATGTAGAACAGGGGTCGGGGTGCAGAGGGTGAACCCTGACAGGAGGTGGCCATGGATGAGGAGAGTGAGAAGGTGCTGGAGGCAGAATTAAGGCAGAGGGAGATGTGATGCAGTAGAGTGGGGAAGGGCCTGGATGCTGGAGCAGAAGGGAGCTGTGTGATGGGGGAAAGAGTCAGGGGCAGGCAGGATATGATTGAGGAGAAGGACTATCGGGGGTGGCTCCAATGGGGGAAGATACTAGGGGAGGGTGGGAAGCGATCCAAGGGTGAGATCTCACAGGAGGTGGGGGGAGAATGGGGAGGGCAGGAGAGTGGGAGCGACGAGCAGGGTGGGGGAGAGATTTATAGGGTAGAAAAAATTTAATGTAAAGTGGAGAAGAGCAGAGGCAGGGGAAGGAAATGGGCCGGTACAAGCAAAAGCAATCAGACTGAAAACCAAGGGAGACAATGGGCAGGATGAATAATGGGTGTGAAGTGAGCAGTGAGGGAATGTTTGGAGGGGTAGCTGAGGGGGATGGTGGGGCCTGTACATCAGACAGCGGGGAAGGAGCGCTTTGTGTGAGGATAAGGATAGGTGAGCTGGAGCAAGAATGTGAGGAGAGAAGAAGGTGGTTGAGGTAGGCGGAAGGGAGACCCCCCGCAATGCCCCTAAGTTATGTCACTTGCAGCCATGGTGACTAAGTAGCTGATGGAGCATCCCGGCCTCAGCACACCCCCTACACCAAGGAGGGAAGCAGGTGGCACAGAGCCTGCAATGAAGAGACATTGGTGTAGGGAGAATCGTTGGCTGCCCCATTAGTGCAGCTCTCCAGCTGCTGTGCACTGGAACTGGGCATTAGGCTGAACCCATTGAACATGCAGCAGGAGTATATGAAATGTGAATGACTGGTTGCCGCAGCTCAGGTTGTGGGTGGTTGTTCATCTGTTTTCCCGAACAGCCTGACTTGTACAAAATGAGCAGCCGGCCCCGTGGAATCTGCCTGATCCTGAACAATCATGACTTTACAAAAGCAAGATCAGAGGTGCCTAAACTTCAAAACATAAAAGACCGGAACGGAACAGACGCCGATGCAGGTACAGCAAGGACTAGAAAAATTCAGGCGCAGTTTGCATATCTGTGAACTCCAGGGAAATTGGAGTAATCTGAGAAAGGGGAAGAGGTCTGGCCTATTGTATGAAATGTACTTAACTAGTTATCACGGCGTTCACTGTCAAACTGAGATGGGATATATCAGGTGGGGTTCCACAGTGGTCTGTCCTGGATCCAGTTCTATTTAATATTTTCATTAACAACTTGGATGATGGAGTAGAGAGTACTCTTGTAAAATCTGTGGCTGACACCAAGCTAGGAGGGGTTGCCAGCACTTTGGAGGACAGGATTAGAATTCACAATGATCTTGATACTGATTCCAAAACAATTCTTCATTGTAAGACAACATTCAATAATGACAAGTGCAGGTCTTTGCACTTATGAAGGCAAAATCCAATGCCTAAACACAAAATGGGGAATAATTGGCTAGGCAGCCGTATTATAGAAGGGGATCTGGGGATTATACTGCATCACAAATTTAATGAGTCAACAATGTGATGCTATTGGGAAAAAAAGCAAATGTCATTCTAGGATGTATTAACAGGAAGGTTGTAGATAAGACATAGGAGGTGATTGTTCTGCTCTAGTCGGCACTGGTGAGGTTTCAGCTGGAGCACTGTATCCAATTCTGGGCACCACATTTCAAGAAAGATGTCATTTGCAAATTTATAAAGTATGCTCTACTCTATCATGCAAGTTGTGAATGAAAATATTGACAATATCAGATCACTACTGTTCAGGCCCTTAGATCCCCTCTTTTCCTCTCTGATGCTCATTGCTGTGGTAGCGGAGATAAATTCCCACTCTGAAAACATAAGTGATGGGGGTATGGAATTAAATGTATATGGGTGGGGGAAAAAAAGCATGAACCTAATTCTCTTTAGTTACTGATTAATTTATTTAGTAAAAGTTACAAAATGTCTCCCCCCATTGCCCCTTCTGTTTACTCTCCAGCGGCTCTGAGAAAGGTCTTTACCAAACTTCACTTTGAGATAGCAGAACACAAAGACCTCACTGCAGAGCAAATCCGTCACACAGTGCACGTCTACAGGAACATGGACCATCGTGACCGGGACTGCTTTGTTTGCTGCATCCTCTCCCATGGTGATAAAGGCATCATATTTGGTACTGATGGGCAGGAAACATCTATCCAGGCACTAACCACTTCTTTCACTGGCATGAACTGCCCCTCACTTGCTGGAAAACCAAAAGTGTTCTTCATTCAGGCCTGCCAAGGTGACACATTCCAGAGAGGGGTACATATAGAAACAGATTCTACAGAGCTGGGTTCTTCTGTAGAGGCAGATGCAAGATTTCAACTGGAGTGCATTCCAGATGAGGCAGACTTCCTGCTTGGAATGGCCACTATGAAGGATTTTGTTTCCTACAGAAGCACAACCCAGGGCACTTGGTATATACAATCACTGTGCGAGCACTTGGAGAAGAGCTGTCCACGGTTAGTAAACTTATTTCTATCTTATCCATAAAAGCGTTAACACTGATTTGTATATGTACATACATTTTGTCACCTCTTCATTCTTAGCCTTACACCTTGTCTATACAAAATTTCACCTGTTGAACTTAAGCCGTGATTTAGTTAAATAGGTGCAAATACCTATGCAGATACCCTTACCTATGTCAGTTTTTAAACTGACAAGTTAAACCAGTGCTAGCTTCTTGTGTAGACAAGGCTTTATACACGTGGTGCAATTAGTGGGGTGGTTGGGTGTTGTCTGCACACATCTGCCTCACCTGGAGTGATTGTAGGGAGAGTACCCTACAACCCTCATTGATACAAGTGTTGTGTAAATCTGAGGATGAAGCAGTGACACACATGTATAATATAAAATCCTATTACAACTGATCTGTAATTGCTGTCTCCTACATAAGTGAGTTGTACCTCAGTCAGGTATCTGTGGATATATGTATGGAGGCAGGGATGGGAGCATGTACCTACACACCCATGTATTTGTACACACAGAGACAGGTCTCTCTCTGTATAAAATAATAGAGAGAATCTCACGCACACACTGCTCCTACATACATGCAAAGAGAAATACCTAAATAGGGTCCAACTCACTTGTTTAGAAGACAGCAATTACAGAACAGCCACTGTAAGTTGTTCAGTGTAGCATAATAAAGTTAAATCCATTATTTGCTCATTCCACAGAGCAAGCACTGCTGGCTTTGATCAGGATATGGGATAATGTAGTAGCATCTTGAAGCAATCAAAAGGTGTTAGTGGACAGCAGGTTAGGTGAACCCCTTTGCTGTTGCTAATGCTGAGATTCTAATTTTTTGGCAGAGGAGAGGATATTCTCTCGATCCTGACAGCAGTGAACCGGGAGGTGAGCAGGAAGAATGACAGGCTGAACCAAGGGAAGCAGATGCCACAGCCCAGTTTCACACTCAGGAAAAAACTCATCTTCCCGGTCAACTGAACAGGGAACTGTAGTCACCCCAACTTGAAATCGGCTATGGAAAAGTCTGCAGTCAGTTCTGGACTTTCGTTTGCTACAAAATTAGAGCTTTCAGTATGTGCTCTCAGCTTGGGAACAAACATACCTTTTTTTTGAAATGTAGCTTTCCAGAGAGCAGGCTATTTCATTCGAAGTGTTCACTTTTTGTAGTCTGTCAGAACTGTGAGTACAACCAGGTTGCTGGATAGCTCAATGCTCTCACCAGTGCCTGTAGATCAGTGTTTCTCAGCGACCGGTCCGTGGACCGGCACCGGTCCCTGATATCTCCCTGACACAGTTTAGGAAGGGAGCAAGCCAGTCCCTGGTATCAAAAAGGTTGAGAAACACTGCTGTAGATGATAGCAGGTATTAATATAGAGGCACTTGGCCACTTTTTCAAATGATGTATTTTTCAGGGAGAACTATCTACCAAATTTGGAAAACAAGATATTGACTAACTTAGAATCAAGTTTAGGGTTGTGCACACATGTAATTAGTTTATGATCAGCTTGTACAAAAATAAAAGTAAGTTTCAGAAAATTTTATCTCCCTGAAAATAAGGATACACATTTTAGTCCAACAAGATAGATTTGGAATTTTTTTTTTTGAAAGTAGATGGCAAGGGCTTACACCAGAAGTGCGTTTTCAAAGCACTGTTGCTATTAACCTGCCTGACCATCATAGTAAGTTCTTTTCTTAATAAAGTGTCCATTATACTTATTCAGCTTCTGTTCTCAATAAATCTAACTCTCCAGTTCCACACACTGCTCTCCAGTATAGCCAGTCAGACAGTGACAGCAAGAGCCTCCATATTTCAGAGCATCTGCTTTTAGCAGCCTAAGAATTAAGTCAGTTGTGAAGGTGCAACCCTAGGGAAGCCTGAAGTGGTTGGGCAGCCCGGGGAAACTAATTTACTTACCTCACTGGTTTTCAAATCCTACTTCTAGTAACAGAGCACAGAAGAAAGCCAAATAGCCACAATCACCACACTCACTTCTTGCAACATCTCCCTTGGTAGATGGGACTCCAAGCACTGCTGGGCTTGTGAGCTTTGATGCTATTACAAGGTAAAGACGGGTTGCAAATGATATAAAATAAAGGTAAGCAACAGCAAAGTTAGTTGTCCATTCCATACAGCCTCAGCCAAGTGTAGGAAGGACTCTGACTAGAAGTCTGACTGCCTGGGAGGAGGAGCATCCCCATTTATAGTAGCAAATAACTATTGTAGTAATGATTAGTGAGAGGGATAAAAACCTCTGAGCACCCATTCATCTACACCACACCAGCCTGGCCTGGTAAGAGAGAGCTTAAGCAGAGATAAGACTCAGCTGAGCATCATAGTGCAGCACACACACTTGGGGCCAGCATCCATCTCTCTGTCTGGAAACAAAGCAAGGACAGTGATTTGCAGCAGACTTGTGGCCTGAAGCAATACAGGATAGAGAATAAGGAAATGACAGGACAAAAACATGACACCTTGGATATGATTGATTGATATGGTTTTGGAAGAGTGAGGGACTGCAGATTTGGCATTGCCTACAGAAATGGAAAATAAACTTGAACATATTGCTACGTTTGGATTTACCATCATCAGCAAGTTTCCCTTAGTAACAAGGTCACATTCCCATTAGAGCAGTCCTCACACCTGACTCTTTCGCCGGACTCTTTCGTTAAATGCTTCTTCGCTCTTTGTGATCAGTTTGCGTCTGTGGGGATAGGAAGGGGAAGTGTTACAAAAGGGACAGTAGAGTATCTACTCACATCTGCCTCTGTTATGTAACCTTTTATTTTATTTAAAGTGAATTTTGTAATGTGGTATTACGCCATCATGGGTTCTGCTCTGGTGGCTAGAGTTTCAAGCTTAGCAGAGTGAAAATCACCTCTGCTGCTTGCTTCAGATTTAGAGTCTCTAGGAACACAAAGACCAAGGGTAGTGACCACACATACATTCACAAGTACAAGGTCTAGTCTGTTTTACAAGTTTTATTAAAGTTACAGTTAAAGTTAGGATTAGCCAAGCATATAGAAATTCTATACAGACATACACAAGTTACAAATATATTTATACTCACATCCTTAACAATAGTGTTAGGATCTGATGGGTCTCTCATGGATTGATCATCAGTAGAGGGATGGTTCCTGCTGAAGTTTCCCATAGCGAGCTCAATTTTCCCGCTCTGGGCACCCTTTTATAATGTGATTCTGTCTATAACTCTTTAGCATTTACGTACATTGTGCACCCTGCGGTTAGGGCATGTGTTAGAAAAATGTAACTACTCAGTATCTTGTAAGCAAAAAATTACTCTTACTATTAATTTTTTGCAATATCACCCATTGGTACATCTTTTCCCGTAATCTTAGGGCCTGAGGTTATTCTTTGGTCACTTATATTAGCGTTTCTTAACTCTGTTGCCTAGTATGACTAAGCTAAAATCTTACAGGCCTCAGCCCGTAGGCCTTGCGTTTCAGCCCTACTTAGATATCTAATACACGATTATCCCTTCCACATACTGATGAATCTCATATATCTCTATAATCCTACAATTTAACTCTATTTAGCTTACAATGATTATATAGGACACACGTTAATCATAACCTCAATGAATAAACTAAAGTCATTGGCTACAGTTACTATACAGGCTACAGAATTTAAAGACTGCCAGATAAGCAGGTGCAACTCCACCGACTTCAGCAGACTCACAGTTATGATCAGTTTACTGATTGTTTGTCCCCAGATCTCTCACACGATAGGAAGCATGCTCAGCTCCCACACAACCTCCACACGTGGGTTTCCTTTGCCAGACATAAGCAGAAGCTCTATTTCCATTGTAACTTAAGCCCTGATCTTTAGTAAACAATACATTAATATGCTTAAATCTTGGCCCAGCAACAGATTCATCTTGGTTATTGTGAAACCTGAGTGCTATGTTCCACAGTAAGCAATGAGAATGATCACTGATGAGTTAAAATGAGGCCACCAAACTGAACAGTGGAAGGCCAGCAATTCACAGCATCCTCTCCCTTTATTAATTCCAGTAAACTGCGACAGTGTTTGCTTCAAGAAGGGAACGGAGATTTAATGACCAAGAATGGGAAAAAATTCCTCCCCTCTTTCCAAAAGACACACTTTTTTTTCTGTGTTAACACCATCTTGTACATTAGAACTAGAAAATGTGTTTTAAACACTCTAACCTTGTCATCTCCATTTGTTTTTTCTTTACACTTCACTCACCTTAGTGAAACCAGACTGGTTAGTTTCACTTCCTGCGTCTCCGATGCTGTAGGTGATCATTAGTTTAAGGACTGGGATACTTTTGATAGGGTTTGGATAATTGTTTCACATGAAAAAAGTGCACTCTTAAAAACGTGGCTGGCATAGCTACTGCCAGCCTCTGCCTCACTGATGTGCATATTGCTTGGAGGGGAGGATTCTTCCAGTAACTGTGTGTCAGAATGGGTTTATCATGAAACACCGAACAAGTATAATTAACATTCTCTCTGTTGAGAGCTCAGATATGTAGAAACTACATGCAGCTGCACTGATTGCAAAGCCCATGTTCTGGAAGCTGACAGGCTGTCTAAGCTTCTTGTGGGGCTTTTCTAAGGCACCAAAGTTTGAGCAGGGGGAATGTATATACCATCTTGGTGATTCCATGTGGGCAGCGCAGCTCTGCTGAAACTGCTTGGCAGATGGCACTTGCATGAGAATGTTTGGATATAAGATCAGTTGTTCCTGCGAATGAAAGAACTGACAAAGCCTCGTAGTGTAAGTAAGAATGATTAAAAAGAGTGAACTAGTAAATGCTCATGTAGTTGAGTGCTGCTAGTTGAAGCTATCTGGGCTGAAATACTTAGATTTTGTTCCTACCTCAGAATGGCATTTTCATCTGCCAAGGAAGTGATATTGAGCTGGTGTTTTAATTCAACTGCCGAGATTTTCTGTTGAATGTTTTTCTCCAACGCCATCAGGTTGCTTTTCTGGGGAAAAAGGAGCACCGGGTAGTTATTCACTTGCTGTACCCAGACAGGATCAGTCGTTTTACACAACGGCAGGACACAAGACAGCAGGGATGACTGAGAAACACAGGAATCAGTCTGGACCGGTCTAAGCAGGCAAAAACTTCTGCCCCACACTTCCTCCAGATCAATTGTTCTGCTATAGGAACAGCCCAAGCTCGCTGTTAGAATGGTCAAACACTGACAGTTCTTTGCTGGGTGAGACAGCATGAACATGTATGAAAGGTGGGCTATGGTGGTGCAGCATCAGAGTGCAATAGAAAGACTCATTACTAACAGGGAGTGGGATCCCAGAGTAGCTAGTCACAAAAGGCTGACCTGCCAGCAGGGTATAGTCAGTTACACTTGCTTTTAATTTCCCATTTGCTTCTATAGTGGACACCACAGTAATCTCTCTGCAAACAGAATGCCACTGGTCACTGTTCTTATAGCAGGATGTACCCTACTTATAACTAACAAGAGGGCAATAATCAGAGCATCACTGCAGTTAAGAGGCTGTCAGCATATCCTTGGTACAGCTACTCCTCACTGGTTACACAGAAAATTCACCACAACCACAGAGTGGGGAAGGAAATCCCCTCATCTGTCTCAGACATAACTGAACGGGTCATGCCACCAACTGGCATTTGTATTGTAACGAATGCTTGGGCCTCTAGTAATTTCATTGGCAGACACCAATGCGATGGTGTCTAGAAACTTCTTGGCAACGGTGATGATAGAACTCAGCTCCTCTTGCACCAAAAGCATAGGCCCCTACCATGTGAGCTATAGGAGAAGTAGTCAGTCAGCTATTACTTGTGTATAGGACCTACGGCATACAGCAGAGCAGTTCTCCGGTCATTTGTTATAATATTAATGCAAATTATGTTCTGTGCACCAAGATGACGCCCACCCCCCCAAAGTCTGAATCCAGCAGCAGATATTAATAACGTCAAAGAAATGCACAGAAACAATCCACCAGAAAATTGGCTTTAGAAGTGCAGAAACAGCCCACCTCTTCCGACATGGCCACTGATTCTGGATGTCTCGATTGTGAGGGCTCAACGTGAGATTCTAGAAGTTGCACCCAACACACACATCCCACTTCCTCCTCAGCACAGGGGAAATCTTGCCCACTGGGTGACAGGCCTCATTTTGCCAGGGAATTCCCAACCAGTGTTAGAAAGGATTCCACCCCAGGACCTGGGGCTCACTGGCCTATGCCCTCCTGCCTCTGCATGCAGCCTGCAAATATCTTGATGACACTCATTAACTCCCCAAACAGGTTCTCCTCTCCTAACACCTCCTGCTGGATCTCCTATACCAGGCTCCTAATTCACAACTCTCCCCATGGATCCTACCAAAAGTCTGTCTCAACTAGGGTGACCAGACAGCAAATGTGGAAAATTGGGACGGGGGTGGGGGGTAATAGGAGCCTATATAAGAAAAAGACCCAAAATCGGGACTGTCCCTATAAAAATCGGGACATCTGGTCACCCTAGTCTCAACACCATGCTGCGTCTCACCCAACACTCTCAGCACCCTCCTTAACACCTGCCCCCAACCATGCATCCCCTTGTCCTCCAGACCCCAACACTATTCCCCTTAGCACTATTGAGAAAAAAGGAAATTGGCCGACAACAAGGTTTGGATGGTAACAGTTGAAGTATGTAAGTGCTTGTCTAAAAGCTATGGATCAGTACACACATCAATAACCTCACCCCAATCACTAAGGCGTGGAACTTCCCACCAAGGTTAACTGTGCAATTCTGACCCCCAACCTTAACACACCACTCATGAGCACATAGCCATGTGCTGGAATTTGCTGTTTGTGCAACACCTAAACAACCTTACATTTGCTCCTCCTCCGATAAACCAAAATTCAGACACAACCTTATCCAGACTCAAGAAACTACTTCTAGCACAACAAAGAGCAATTCTGCTCTGAAACGTGAATGGAGACGATAAACGTAGGAATCAGGGCCATTGTTACAATAATTCCCAGACCAAAGGTGCTCAGTTTAAAGGGTAAAATACAGCAAGTAACATCGTCAAAAGTAACTAAGTGACCTAGGAGCCTAAATCCCCTTCTCAAAAGTGATGTAGGTACTTGGGAGCCCAAGTCCCACTGAAACTTAGTGATCCGTATGCTCCTTAGTACCTAAACTGGTTTGGCAAATGGCACCCATGTTTTAACTGCCAGCCCTGCAAACACCCCCTTGACCAGAGAGACTAGTTTCAAGCCAAATCAGGGCCTCTGTGACACATAAGCAAAGTGATGGCCATCAGTTTATGCTCTCAGTGACACCTGGCTAACCCTATTGCCGTCAGGTGGATTGCACAGCTGCTAATATTTAAAAGGGGTTAAGAAGTCTGAAGAGAACCCAGCTCTCTCCCTCAGAGCCGTGTTGGTTCTGCAGTATTAACAGGATGAAAAAGCAGCAACGCTATTACTAAAGTCAGCAGATTTGACTGAGCAGCAGGGAGCAGATCTGCCGAGGAGGAAGATGTCATTGTTACATGGGTTCTTTTCAAAGCAAAACTGCAATTTAAGTGCTTGATTTAAATGCAGAAAAGCAAAGGAATTCAGGGTAAGTCTGAAAGCCTGTTTCTTCACCCTGCCCTTTGTACTCCAATATTTCAGATGTCCGCGAACCTCAACTGATCTTTAGATAGTCTGTGCTACAATATATGTGAGCCATGTGGTTCTAGCTTCACTTGGACTGTCCTGGTACTTAGGTCAGAGCTGTATCAGGATTTCAGTGGGCTAAGTACAGAATCATCCTGTTCTCCCTACAGGGGAGCGAGATGCTCTAGTTACAGTGCCATCCAGCTGAGCACAGAGACAGAAAATCCTCCAGCGTGACTTGCCATAGCATTGCCCACCACAGCACATGCCCCTCCTACTCCTCAGCCATCTGCTATTGCCCTCTTTTAATTCTGGAAGCTAACAGTCTCCTCCAAGTGTGGACTGACTGTATTCCAAGAACAGACAGCGTGCTGCAAGCAGAGATCACAGCCAACCCCTCATCCCCATCTATCCACACCAATGAGGCATATTTCCAGTCTCCCACCCACCCCTATCCAGGTGACCAACTGCCATCAAGACACTGGCTGCTGGCACACGTATTTAAAGAGCAAATTCCCGGGTCAGGATACTGGCATTGTTCAGTAGATGGGACTGTACAGTTAAGTGTGAGATGCACTCTCAATAATCCACCTTTCTTAGCAGACAAAGTACAGCCCACCTTGGAAGGGAAGGAAAGGGAAGGGCAGGGAAGGGAAGGGAAGGGAAGAAGAAAGATATTTTACACTACATGTCAATGGCGTTTGGAACCCTGAGAACAGCAGCAGCACTCGGTATCTAAGGAGCCCCATGTGCCATAAAGAAGGGAATGTAGCTGTTCAAGAGAGCCCACAGGAATGAACAGGAGACCAGTTTTCAGTACTCAGAAATAAGGCTATGATTTAGTCACGGATGTCGCGGAATCCGTGACTTCCAGGGACCTTCGTGACTTCAGCCTGCGGTGGTCAGGAGCTGCAGGGTCCCCCGCCTCCAGCAGGGGCAGGCAGCTACGGGGTGCCTCAGGCGCCTCTGGCAGCCCCGGAGCTCCCAGCCGCCACGAGTGCCTCCAGCAGCCCCCAGCCCTGGCGGGGGAACCCCTGCAGCTCCCGGCCTGCCGCCAACGGGGGTACCCCGCAGCTCCTGGCCAACATGGGAGGCGGGCGTACCCTGCAGCTCCTGGCCCCCAGGGGCAGCAGGGGATCCCCAGAGCTGCAGGCGGCAGGGGTACCCCGCAGCCCCCAGCTGCTGCAGGCAGTTCCTAGCCCCTGCGCAGCTGCCCTGCTTCAGGCCGTGTGGGGACCCGCAGATCCCCGTTTTGTCAGGGATATTTTTAGTAAAAGTCACAGACAGGTCACGGCTTCTGTGAATTTTTCTTCTTTGCCTGTGACCTCTCCGTGACTTTTACTAAAAATATCCGTGACAAAATCTTAGCCTTACTCATAATGACATCACACACGCTCTCCCACCTCTTTCTTAAGCTCCACCTGAGCGTTCTGCATCGTTGTGGTGAGCGCCTTGAGAATCTGTTCCTTCTCCTTCAAATCGGCTTCCAGAGACTTGATTGGATAAAACACAGACACATTCACTTGGATAAAATGGGCTCCTCTCTCTCTAGCCCAATGTACTGTGCAGCCCCCATCAGCCTCTCCCAGTCATTGCCATCCGTCTCCAATACCTGTGTCACGGTCTGCACCACATGGGGGCGAGGGTTGGCCTGAACAGAAGCACGGACATACCATTGCCCTGATTTTATGAGCTGGATTCATTCCTATTGGTAGGGGCCAACTAGTTACCCATGCTGTCCTTGTACTTAATTGGGCTAGAGGAGAGTCAAGCATAAGCTCTCCTGCATATGGACTTCATTTACCTAGAGGCCTCTCAAGATAATCTGCCACCTTAAGCAAAACTTCAGTGTTCCACACCCCTCCTACTCCTTAGAACAGAGGCCAGCATGGGGGGCAAGGGGGCACGTCAGGTTTTCAGGCTGAGGGGGGGGCATGGCAAGCTCTCTGGTGGTTAGGTGGTTATGGGAGAAGAGTAGGGGCTGGCATCAGCTCGCAGTGCCACTCACTCAGGCTTGGCCCAACCACCCCTCCACCATGGGGGGGGGGGAACGTAGCTGGGCCAAATGTGAGCGAGTCGCACTGCAACCAAGCAGCTGGGGTTGTTGCGCTGCTCAGGTTTGGCCAGGCCACCCCTTGCCCTAGGCAGAATCGGCTGGCCTAGGGAGCTATCCAGTTTGCCCACAGCTAGAGCGGTCCCTAGATTTACCCCTTCACACACAATGGTGCAGGGGCTACAAGTTACAGAGCAGCCGTGTGTGAAGTGGGAGCCACTCCTAGAGGAAAGCAGACATAACCACTCCCCCACTGAGGGGATATGTCTACACTTGGAGCGGTGGGTGTGATTCGAGGAGTCCTACTCGCACTAGATCAATCAGAGCTAGCACATAAAACATAGTGTAGCTGTGTGGGGATGGACTAACCACCCTGAGGATGTGCCTAGGATCTTGGATGGACACATATTCAGGGCAGCTGGCCCCTCCCCTAACCCATTCTGCCACAGATACACTATTTTTAGCATGCCAGCACAATGAGAGCTAGCCTGGGTATGTCTCCTCAAGTGAGCTGGGAATCACACCCCCAGCTCCAAGTGTAGACATTTCCCCGAGGAAACCCAGAGCTCTATGTTACAGTCAGGGATCGAGAGCAGCCCAGCCAGCAGAGGCTGCACTAAACCATTACAGCCTTCAGACACCCAGGCCATGTGGCTCGCTGGCCAGCCAGGCCCCCTGTCTGGGGTCTGCCCTTATTTGGAAAGTTTTTTATTTCAGGTTTTATAAAAGCACCAGGGCTACATCAAGAACCCAGAATCAAGCTTCGTTTTCCAATGGAAATTACAGTTAAATTCCCTGAGTGGCTCCTTCTCCTATTACAGAACAGTGCACAAAAGGGGAGCTGATCAGTGTGCACTATCCCCTCAATAAGCTTAAATACCTCAGCTAAGTCCCGTCCTGCTGACTGGGTGAGAGTGAACTGCTCAGAAATCTAGACCGTACCATGTGACACAGTTGCTCCAGTGGCACTGCATTCCTTTTTTTGCCATACTTGCCTCCTTGATGTTTTGCAACTCTTTTATTTTCTCCACATCTTCCTGGTGCTGTTTAATAAACTCCTGAAAGGGGGACACAGTTTGTGCACAGTTCATGGCATGTCTGTAATATTCCCAGGCTCATCAGCGAGCAGCCGATTCCAACCACCCGCACAATCCAACAGGCGAAACCAAACGCACGACCTTCCAGACAATAACTGCTAGGCAGAAATACAAGTGACTGGTGCTTTGGAAGGTGTCTGACATGCCCCACACTCCTTAGGATCCCTGGGGTTTAACAGAATTGTCCTGTGATTATGGTTCGAATCCAGCCTGTCCCCATCTCTCCCTTTACTCAGAGCATCAAGCCCTTGAGCCTTTGAGCAATAGGAGCCTTATAAATAGACATAAGAACAGCCATACTGGGTCAGACCAAAGGTCCATCTAACTCAGTATCCTGTCTTGTGACAGTGGCCAATGCCGGGTGTCCCAGAGGGAATGAACAGAACAGGTTATCATCAAGTGATCCATCCCATATTCCCAGCTTCTGGAAAACAGAGGCTAGTGACACCATAGACACATGGATTTTATAACAAACCTGCTACTATTTTACTGGCAATAAGAGTTGATGGGAACTGCAGCACCTCAACATGTAGCTTTATGCTTCCCTCAGGACTAGCTACCTCTCTTTCCTGCCGGGAGTGTTTATTCATCATGGAGTTACCACTCTGAGATGATTTCTTTAGCTGCTCTCTCTCCAGCTCAAATTTCTTCATCAATTCTTGCTCTGTGGAGAGAAAGACAGAGGTCAGAGGGCTTTTCCTAATCATCCATTTTAACTCTGTATAAGAGGCACACAAATGTACGTGGCAACAAGGATACGAGGTGTTTGACTCATTTCAGCTGCATTCAATATTTCTACAGCCCTAGCACTATGGTATCTAAGCACCAGATAACGAATGACAGCACTGGGTGTGCCCCGAAGGAGAACGTTCTATAGTCTCACCCCATACACATGCCCACACACTGGATCACTTTTCCAGTCATCGTCTTGCTCCCTTCTCCTCCTCTTGCAGTCTCTCTTCTTTGCATGGTAACTTTGTAACTGTCACAGGTGTTACTTTGCGAGGCTCTGGGATGTGGCACAATGTACAACATAGCCAGAAATATGTCCTTACCCAGGGGTACACTTCCTACAGAATGGGCTAGCAGGGAACAGATAAGCACATTGCTGAAGTGACAATATGGAGGAAAAAGAACAGGAGTACTTGTGGCACCTTCAAGACTGACAAATTTATTGGAGCATAAGCTTTCTTGGGCTAAAACCCACTTCATCGGATGCATGTAGTGGAAAATACAGTAGAAAGATACACACACACACACACACACACACACACACACACACACACACACACAGAACATGAAAAAATGGGTGTTGCCATACCAACTCTAATGAGACTAATCAATTAAGGTGGGCTATTATCAGCAGGAGAAAAAAAACTTTTGTAGTGATAATCAGGATGGCCCATTTCCAACAGTTGACAAGAAGGTGTGAGTAACAGTAGGTCGCTCTTCTATTCTAAGCCCTTATTTATAGTCACTTATAAAAGGTTCTTTTGTTGCTGTTTGTTTAAAATCCCAGGAAGCGTCATGCTTGGTCTCAGCCCAGAAGTGATTTTTTGTAACCAGGCGTGGGACCAAAGGCCTTGAATATATAAAATCTTCAGGAATACTCATTGCTATCACAGATAAGTTACAATAACCAGAGCAGAAGGTATTCCTGGGTTCTTCTCCATCCACTGAATAATGGAGAGCAAGCGGTTACTCTATTGCAGCCAGACCTAGAAGAATCAGTAAAACTGACTGGGATAATCTGGTATTTACATCCTAGCAGTTAATAAGGCAGATCTCAAACAATTAAATGACTCAGAGGCAAATGTAGTACCTAAAACTATTTCCAACTCATTGACTTTAATTCACTACATTGGAAGCTGATGGTGTCCCTCTGAACAGAACGGATTGCCTAAGCTTGGGGGCAGAGGAGTGGTAATCAGCTGCAGCTCTGCCTCCACAGATGTAAATACAAGTGTCCTTGTTTACTTACTTTGCTGTAACAGTGCCTTCTCCCGCTCAGTCCTCTCACTCTTCTTCCATTCAGCCTGCCTTCTCAGCCACTTCTCCTCCATTTCATCAGAAACACTGTCCTACAGACAATATGCATTTTCAGAAAATCTTCCAAAAACCCTGACGGCTCCTGAATCTCCCACATTGCCTCCAATTATGCTGTAAAAAGATAGTTAGCAACTAAATAGCCATTTCCATCCACAGATCCCAAAGTGCCGTACCATGGAGCTCTCCCCAGGCTAAAGGAGCAGAAGGAGGGAGATCCTTTGGGGGGACAGCCTCTGTGGCCACTGCACACCCCTCTTCCTCCACAGGGATGAGGGAGACACCCCCAGCTGCATCCATCATGCCTGCTCCTGCTAGCAGTCACCGACGTTATGTTCTGTGGTGCACAGGGTATGTGTCCCCACCCCTGGGTTTTGGATATCCTGCCCTCCTTACCCACAGTGGAACTGCAGTGAATCCAGCACATCGGGGACCCTGTGTGCCAATGGGGATGGCGGGGTGTGTGTGTGTGTGAATCTGATGAGTGCACTCACTGCAGTACCTTCCTATGAAACTAAGGGCTAGTCTACACTATAGTGCTACATCGGTGCAGCTGCACTATGCCGACAGGAGAGCATCTCCCACCGACAGAGCACCAGTTTGGTCAGCGCTTAGGTTGATGTAACTTGCGTTGCTTGGGAGGTGGCTTTTTCACAGCCCTGAGTGATGTAAGTTATGTCAACTTAAACGGTAGTTGTAGCCAAGCCCTACGCATTAGACTAACAGGACTTGATCCACTTTTGGAGATCACTGCAGGGTTGCTGAAATCTCACCTGGTACATTCGGAATGCATTCTTCAGATACTTGTATTCCTTCTGCATCCCCTCTGAGCAACAAGAGAAGGACAAGATGTGTAGTTAATACAGCAATTTTAACACGAATGTCTCAGCCATGGGGATTTGCACTAAAACCCTGAATAGGTAACATGAAAGTGGACTAGGCATCTCAGTCCAGACCCCACAAGACACGTCTATGTCACAGATTCCACCACATAGTATGGGACTAAGAATGAAGAAACTAATTCTGTTTTTTAAAGGCGGCTCAGAATTAGAAGGGGACTGAGGCTGGGTTGGGGCAGGTTGCGTGGAATATTTGCTGACCCTACAGCTGGCCTGAAGACACGGTCAGTGACTTTTCTGAGCACCAAAAGGCACCCAAAATAAAATAAATAAATAGCTGGGGAACACTCATTGATTTGAAAGATATTCTTCATTTCTGTTTACAAAAATACCGAGCAAATTGCAGAAGGTCTGGCTGGCCATCCAAGAAGTGTTCTGGGCAGCCTCCCCCTGAAATCAATATCTGTTTGGAAACCTGAGCATTATTCAAAGCAGCAGAAATCTGAGGAGCTCAGGTGATCTCCAATTCCCTCCTGCTATTTTGGACTGAAATCTCTCAAGACTGCATGAGACTTTGGCATAGGCTGACCAGATGAGAGGAAGAAAATATTGGGACACGGGGGGAAGGAGGTCCACCGGCGGAGCAAACAAAACAAAAACTGCCGGCGGAGCGAAATATCGGGACAAAGATCAGTCGGTACGCGGGACAAACACCTAAAAATCAGGACGGTCCCAATTTTATCGGGACGTCTGGTCACCCTACTTTGGCATAACTGAATCTCAACCATAAACCGTGATTCGGCCTCAGAACACAGACCCCAGTCTAAACCTAATCCAGATCTGGACATGACTCCCTACGTCAGTTTATAATTCCAGCACAACGCTAGCATTTAAAGGACTGGCACACTGCCAGCCGCAAGCCACCTTCCTTCACAACTATCCCTCTTCCCCAATCAGTACGGACAATCACGGCTCAGACCCCTCTTTGCTTTCAGTACCAAAACCTGGAGAGGCAAGGGGAGCTTCCAACGGGAGTCTGCTGCTGTGAATATGCTAGAGAGGGAAAGAACCTGACAGGAGTTTCCAGCTCAGAGTAACCATGAAAACAACAGGGATCAGACTGTCCATACCCATTTTCTCTTGTGCAGAGGCCCTCTCAGTCCTCAGTTCTTTCTTGTACTGCACTTGCAAGGCCTGGAGCTCAGCACAGTGAGCTTCTTGGAGTTCCCTGTGTGACCAACGCACAAGCACATCGATGCAGAGATCCACAGAGACACTTTCCTCTCCGCCACCCACTGGATCGTTTATAGTGATGGAATCATTACAGAAGGTGACTGGCCAGGTGACTGTAACTGTGTACGTTATTTTGTTTTCTGCGCACTGCACATTTACATTTCTAGGAATCTGCAGGAGGCAGCTGACAATTTGTGGTCAGTTCAGATGCAAATTACCAGAGGAGAGAGACACTGTGCATATCCCCGGAGACTTTACTTTTGTTCTTTCTTGTTTTTAAATAAAAGTCAACCAGGCTGAAAGTATAGGGTTGCTCTTTGTGTGTGGAGAAAATATAACCTGGGGTGTAATTTGATAAGCAGAGAGGCTTGCAGATGTGTCATGCAGATCTTCCTAAACAAGTAGCCATTAGAAGCTTTATGGCATCTCACACCATCATCTATTTTGTTTGTGCTGGGCATGTCCCAGCTAGTCATTTATCTTATTTTATTTGCTCTTGGTCCTATTTTTCTTCTTTCATTCTGCATTTTCTCTCTTTAAAGTGCATTAGTTTCTAATGAGCAGAATTTAGTGATGCTGTACAAGGATATGAGCAGAATTTAGTGATGCTGTACAAGGGGCCTCTAAAGTCAGTTTATATATTAGTTTCAAAGGTATATTTTCTGGTTTGTGAAGTCAGAGTTTACTGCACATGGGGTGGCTGGAGGAAGTCGGGTGTTGGCAGACTTAGCCCATCACCCCACCTTCTCAATAACCTTTCCCAAGCTGACGAGATCATTGCTGACAATTGATACCTCAGCGAGGAGGAACCTTATAAAAATGTAGATTTATCGTTTCCAACTCAGACTTCATAGCTGGGTATAGTAGGGAGATAGGACTGGGCCAAAAGGCTCCGTTAGCCATCTGAGAGTCCTGATGGGGCGGGAGGCACAATTGTGCCAAGCTGGCTCTATTCTTTCTTCTTCAAGAGCGCGCTGATGGATCCTGGGTGACAGTTAGCCATAGAGAGCAGCACAGCTCAGATTTGTCACCACTCATTCAGCAAGTATGCAAGGCCCCTACGGTAAGGTCCATCATGCTGTGGGCTCAGATGCCAACAATGTGCGGATGGCACCTAGCACCTCATCAGTTGAAGACAGCGTGGTGCCCTAAGTGTCTGGACAAAGTAGGGACATGAAAGAAACATTGATGTCCCCAACACAACGTGAAGTCAAGGGTAGGCTGGTCAGCAAAGGAAAACACTGAGACACTGGCAGACACACTTGCTATGCCCTCCCATTACTCCAAGAAAGCATCCAGCCTAAGATCTCACAAGAACAGCTGTTCACAGGGCCGGTGCAAGGAAGTTTCGTGCCCTAGGCAAAACTTCCACCTTGCGCCCCCCCCACCTAACACCGCCACCTGCCCCCCCGCGGCAGCTAACCACGCCCACCCACCAGAGGAGCCCATCCCGCGGCAGCTAACCCCGCCTGCCATCCCCCCTCCACCCGGGGAGCCCGCCGCCCGGGGAGCCCGCCGCCCGTAGCAACTACCCCCACTCTGCAGCTAACCCCGCCCAGGGAGCCCCCCTCCATGGCAGCTAACCCCGTCCGGGGAGCCCCCCTCCCCCCGCAGAAGCTAACTCTGCCCGGGGATCCCGCCCCAGCTCACCTCCGCTCTGCCTCCTCCACTGAGCACGTCGGCACCGCTCTAATTCTCCTCCCCTCCCAGGCTTGCGGTGCCGATTGGAGGAGACTTAGAGCGCGGGCTGTGTGCTCAGCGGAGGAGGCAGAATGGAGGTGATCTGGGGCGCGGAGCGGTTCCCCTGTGCGCGCCCCCGCCGTTACTGCGGGCGGCCCTCCCCGCGCCAGCTCACCTCCACTTCACCTCCTCGCCTGAACGGGCTTTTAGGTGCACTCAACCACGAGGCACCCTAGGCAGCCGCCTAGTTCGCCTAGTGGTTGCACCGGCCATGGCTGTTCATGTCACATTTTGGCCTATGGATGATGGAAATATCATGAGAGAATAAAATCTCACAATATCTTCACCAGCCACGGTACAAAATCTAAGTACAGATGGCCTCATGATACCGCTGCTCCCATGGTATCCAGGATTGGAAAGTGAGCCTGATTCTGGCCTGGATTCAAAGCCACTGGATCTGGATGCCCCAATAATAATTATGGTATAGAGATCACAGTGCGTCAATCCCAAGCTTGGCTCATTTTATAGAAGACATACTGCCATGTTGTCTCTTAGTCTGAACATCCAAAACCACACAAGATGTAAAATCTTGTAGAGAAAACTGGTATCCAACATTCAGTTCACACATGTGCTTTCTCCTTGCACAGCACAGCAGTTGTACCTGATCTTATTCTCATGCTCCTGTTGCATCTCATTGCATTTTTCTTCCATATCCTTCTCCAACTTGAAAGGAAAGGAGACAAGTCTTTATTAAGGTGTAAACCAGGGGTCGGCAACCTTTGCCACGCGGCTCACCAGCGTAAGCACCTTGGCGGGCCGGGCCGGTTTGTTTACCTGCCACATCCGCAGGTTTGGCCGATCGCGGCTCCCACTGGCCGCGGTTCACCACTCCGGGCCAATGGGGGCTGCGGGAAGAGGCGCGGGCCGAGGGATGTGCTGGCCGCCGTTTCCCGCCACCCCCATTGGCCCCGAGTGGCAAACTGCGGCCAGTGGGAGCCACAATCGGCTGAACCTGCAGATGCGGCAGGTAAACAAACCGGCCCAGCCCACCAAGGTGCTTACCCTGGCGAGCCGCGTGCCAAAGGTTGCCGACCCCTGGTGTAAACATACCTACCCTGCCATTTATTTGAGAGAAAATATCTGCTAATGACATAACTCCAGTTAGGTTACTAAAAATCCTGTCCATAGTGGGCTCAGAATTGTGATAGCTACAATTCCAATCCCAGTACAGAAAAAGCATTATTTTTATTCATTTTCCCCTTGAAAAACTTGCTGTTTAACTGTTTTCCATCCTAGGTTGGTTATGCAGAGATCTCTTCATTACCTAAGCCCCTTGCTCTTTTTTCAGTCACCAGTTGCAATCAGAGCAAATGCTTCTAAATTTCAAACAGCAGGGAAGTTGTTCAAGGTGGGCTTTCCAAAAGCGCTGAACTCACTTGGGAGCACAAGTCCCCATGACTTTCAAGTGACTTAGGTAGTTTTAAAAATGCTGCCCTCCATGAAGCAGCTGTTTGGCTGTAAAGGAATCCACATTTATGGCACATAAATAATTAGTCAAGTTCCCCGCCTGCCAGTTCTCTGCACTAACCGCTAGACAACACTGCCTCCTGCAGGCATGTGGACACCTAGCAATCTGGGTGCACTTTAGCCAGTTACTCACTAATAATGGTACTGAAAGGATCCAGGCAGTGCTGTGTGGTCTAGTCAGTCCTCTCCCTGTAGTCTTCCTCAGACACTGTGACTTCATGGAGCACTTGCTGAAAAGAAGGGATAGATGACAGACAACCAGGTGGACTCACCAGTTTGCGGGAGGCCTGGTGATCTCTGCGCAGTTGCTCCATCATGTCTGTCAGCTCAGCAATCTGTTCCTCTAAGTCAGTAATAACATCCTCCCTACAATGATACACCATCTTTCCGTCATGCACGGGGCCCATTGCTGGGACAATCTTGTTGTTTTAAAAGGAGCAGTGGTGGAAATAGAAATAATATCACTACTAGAATTCAGCATCTGGGGCTGGTGTCAGCTCCCTCACTCGAGGCGGCAGGGTTGCAGAATGGGTGTGTAATCTTCCCCCAGCCTGTCTTACCACCGGGGCTGAGGAAACATTTATCAGTGGTTCACCCACTCATTAGGGACGCCGTCCCCTTCCCTTTGGGCTCTTTTGGCCCAGCAACCTACTTTCCAGTGCAGCTCCTTTTCCTGCTCCCTTCAGCAGCAGCAAGGCCACCAGAGGAAAATAAGGTCACAGAGAAAAGCAAGCTTTGACGTCCTGCCCACATGGAGGCACAATGAGAAGGGAGGGTGTATAGATGCACAGAGGGAAGGAGGAGAGGGTGGGCGGTTGCAAACAGAGACTGACCATCACTGGTCAGAATGTGGGACATCTTTGTGGAGAGCTGGTGCATTTGGGTCTCTGATTTATTCCAGTGCTGTGTTCTGGTGAATTTTACAATCCTAATTCTGACAGTGACCACCCCAGACACTGAAAGGTTGGTAAACAGTGATCAAAGCAGCCTTTGTATATCCCCTGTCTCTAAGGTTGCCAATTCTGGTTGGACATATTCCTGGAGGTTTCATCACATGACAATCTTTCATTAAAGATTAATCTTTAATTCCTGGAGACTCCAGGTCAATCCTGGAGAGTTGGCAACACTACCTGTCTCTAAGGATTACTGCTCTCATCTGCGAAAGAAAGGGCATTTCTCAATATGGAAGCACGAGATTTAAAATTGAATGGATGGTATTCCCTCTCCAAAAGGCAGGTCTTTTAATCTGCTTACTGGTGCTCAGGACTTCTAGATAAGTTTCAGTTTAATTGGGGCAACTTTCTCCATCCACTACTTCCCTGTGACCCTCTTTGGTCATCCCCTCTCTTTTTCAGCATCCTGAAGACTTCATGCTTTGGCTACCACCTTTCTGTCCAAGGTGGAGCAGGCAGGACTCCTCTTGGAGACCATCAATGCTGCCACTTAGTCAGCTGGAAGGACCATTGTTGAGCAACATGTGATGTGCTCCTCTCAAGGGACTAAACAAGCTGCCTCTTAGCTTGTTAGAGCTAAGAGAATGAAAGCTGGGCCCCAGACCACAGAGGGGCTTTTACTGAACACTTCACTTCACTCTAGTATCCTCCCAATGGCAGCTAGATACCAGATTCAAGGTCACAAGAGCACTCCAAAGAGAGGAAGCAAATGGAGGGATGAGAACATTTAAAGGAAAAGACCAAACTTAATGATCAAATTATGTTAAACTTTAAAACAGAATAATTTGAAATGTTAACGGGCTGCAACATTTGCACAAGTATTGGCATCTGATAGGCCCAGAACACAACATTCAAATCCAAATCACACAAAGTTAAGGGGTATTTGGCTCCAGATTTTGGATCATCCCCACCTTCTCAGCAGAGTGTATTTCATGTCACAGTAGTTTACAAACTGAATTCAGTCACTATAAATGGCTTCTGACTGAACAAGATCTGAATATACACACTATTTTCTTACTTTAACATCTGCTTTCCTTACAGGAGATCTACATTTAGACTCAGTTTCCAGCCCTCAACACAAAACAAGCAGTGGGACAAGTGTGTTCCATCTCCAGGGTGGAAGGAGGTGAGGGAGACACTTTGTATATAACAGCACATCTTGCTGTCACTGGTTAACCAAGAAACAGCATTCAGGGTAAGGAATGAAACCAGATTCCCGCAGGTGGTGGTGAGAAGGAGGTTAAAAATGTACATAAAGTTCACAGTTTTTGATTTTGACCCAAAACAAACACAAAACAAGCAATACTCACGTCTCAAGTTTCACTGGGCTTCTGCAAAGAGAGTGAAAGATTAAATGTACATTATCAAACTTCTGAAGGTTGAGTTAGAGCGGATGACATGAGTTTGTTGCAAAGCAAAACCTGACTGCATCTAAGAGGCGGATCATTATTGAGTGTTCTCTGAAGTTTGTTCCATTAGCAACTCCTCTCATAATGCAGGATACTATACAACACCCAAAAACCTATAATGCTTCTACATTGACTTTTCAGCCTCAACACCCATACACACACACACTTCCCTTGGTGGTAGGTGCTAAAAAATAGACAGTGAAGTGGATGGGAGTGCTTGGTGAGAAGGCCAGGTACAGACATTTCAATGCAAGCCAGAAACAAAGCATTTATTTGTCCTATATTTTGCCTGAAAGCAGAGAGCTATGAACACACCCTGGGCAGATGCACCAAAGTTACACTTTCTTCAGCTAGCACTGTGCTCTAGAAATTGTCTCTTCTAAAAGCTGAGATCAGATCTCTTACTGGATCTTCAGTTTGGACCTGAATGATCCTCTCACACCAACCTGGGGCTCTCCCATTTTCTTACCGTTCTGTTTGCCTTAGAAACACTCCATCATTAAGAAAATGTTATTTTTTGTTACAGAAATAAAACTCCCCTCATTAAAATAAATGCTATTTTGGTAGCATCCCTCACTTTGGAAGGCAGAGCCCTATGGCTGAGACTGTACAACTGATTCTAAAATTGCAGCCGCACTATCAAATTACAGTGCACACCTCTCTCTTCTACCCTTGTGACAGCCCTGAGAGTGCCACGTGCAGAACAACAAACAGGACCCAAAACTCTCACAAACCAGAAATCCAGAGAGAAGCTTGATTCTGCTCACTTCTATGAAGTCAATGGAATCGCTCCCGAGTTACTTAAATTAGAGAAGAATCAGACTCTTCATCTCCCTCTTACCACACACGAGGTGTTTACCTTGGGGCAGATTCTGATCTCACATCAGCTTTACACTGGTATAACTCAGTTGGGCTAGACAAAGGCCCCTTGTCTATGCAGCATGTGCTTATGAGGGTCATCTCCCCTCTTGCAAGCTTTCACAGGTTCCTCACACACTGTTATTTTGGTGGGGGACCAGGACCATTTTAAGATTCAACCACTTTTCTTGCCATTTAACTGATTTTCTAAGATTACCTGGGAACAAAGAGCGGGGCCGGTTCTTCAGTAACTTTTTTTCTTTCAAAAAATTCCTCCCCTAGCGTGACGGAGAGATGTTCTTTACTTCGAGTCAAGGTATAACCAGGTGAGATTTCTATGAACTCCCCTGAGGCCTGGGGCCCAAAACAAAGAGAAGATATTTAGCTCAGGAAACCTAGTGTCTGGAACCCTAAACCCATTAAAGGGATCTCTCTCTCTCTCATTCTGAAACTGTCAGGAGTGTTTTCTAAAGTATTCCCTGTACCAGCAGAAGGGAAAAATGGGATTCCCCACCCAAGGACCCTTCCCCAAAACCAAGTAGAATCAGATCTGTGCCATTATATGGCTTTTGTGTTTTATGCTGGCCCATGGGTAAAGAGCAGCCCATACATTTCTGCAACAGGGCCTCCAGCTGCCTTCATAGCACCGGAGCAAGAAAGAACATCACATCCTGGGTCTGGCATTCGCCATGCACGGCATCTCTGAACCCAAGATCCAGGCAGCTACAATTTGCTTAATTTTGCTGCTGACCTGGTGTCCCCAGCAGGGTCCCAGTGTTGAGGGCAGGAAGTGAAGAATACCTTATCCAGATTAACTGCAGGGGGAAGTTGGGCAGAATTCTAATGAGCCAAGTTGAAGTTTGTTCAGGATTAGAGGGGTTGACACCCCGTTCTTGCAAGTACCATGGGATCTTTAAGAATTACAGGCAGGGAAGGTCTTTGTTTTCCCCTGAACATTGGCACAGCATGCCCTAACACCATGCCTGGTGGGGAAATACCTGCCAGATCACAAACATGAATGCAGGAAGTTATCCAAGATGAAATTCTTAGCAAAGAGACCAGGAGGACCCTTCATTCTGTCTGCTAAGGCCATGAATAGTTGGGTTAACCAACAAAACCATTTGGTTTTGGGTAACACACAGGTAAGTAAATTGAATGGTTATTATGAAAATCAGAGATACATTTTAGAGAGAAATCTCAGATGAGGGTGTAAGTACACCTTATCCTTAAGAAAAATTGCATGAGGTGGTTTGGATGTCAGAGCATGCAGTTCAGCCACCCTCCTGCCCACAGCGATAGCTACCAGTAAAGCCACCATTAGGAATAGGTGCAGCAAGAAGTATGTTGCTAGAGGCTCAAACAGTGGGTGGGTCCATGAGTCCATGTTGCTAGAGGCTCAAACAGTGGGTCAACAAAACTAGGTTCAAGTCCCTGGGGGGATAGGTTCCCTTATTTGAAGGGACAACTTTTCCAGGCCCTTCACAAACCTGATTCTCATATCATTAGGAAATATAGCACGGTTACCCATATAGGGATGGAAAATGGATCTTGATACTAGAAATCGCTAACCCTTGCTGTTTTAGGTGCAATAGATGGTCCAGGATATGCAGGATAGACGACTATATTGGCAAGTAGGGTGACCAGATGTCCCGATTTTATAGGGACAGTCCCGATTTTGGAGGCTTTTTCTTATATAGGCATCTATTACCCCCCCACTCCCGTCCCGATTTTTCACACTTGCTGTCTGGTCACCCTATTGGCAAGACCCTGGACTGACGAGCCCAGACAGAAAAACACCTCAATTTTGACAGGTAAGCAGTTCTGGCAGAGGGCTTTCTACTATTTAAGAAGACATGGCAAACTTACTGCAAGCAAGACTCTTTTCTAGCATTTAGCCATGGAGCCTCCTGGCTGTTAAATGAAGGGCCCACAGGCTTGGGTAGAGCAGCTGTCCATGATCTTGGGAGATCAAGTCTGGGTTCAACAGAAGTGAAATTGGAGCTGTCACTGACAGATACACTAGAGTGGAGAACCAGTGCCGTCGAGGCCATGCTGAGGCTATTAATATACCTTGGGTCTGGTCCCACTTATTCTTTAGCATCATTCTGTGTAGGAGTGGGATTGGGGGAAAAGTGTAATAGCCTGTTTGTCCAGGGTAGCATCTGTGATGGAAG